TTTTTTTTTTTTTTTTTGTCGTTTTACTAAAAATACATGTAACTCAGTATGTTATCTTTTTTGACTAATCTGTTGAAAATAATAAATATTTTTCTTTTCTTAATATATAAATATACATGTATAAGTACAATTCTCCTTTAAGCTTGTGTCGTTCCTTTCATTTTATTGTCATTTTATCTCTCTGATATATTTTCAACATTGTTTCATTAACGTCGCTGAGAGCTCCTTGCACGTTGAACAAGTGTCCAATTTCAAGGTTTTAACATATTTTGAAAGAAGTTAGTACACTATTCTTTTTTTTTTTTTTTTTTTATTTAAACAATAAAGCAAATAAAACGAGAGAACAGAAACGTGGAGAGTGCGTGTATGAGGAGATGAAATTAAATATATTTTAAGAATTCTGATAGATTCTTCGACCTTGGAATTTCTATTTCTAAGATAAACTTATAAGAAAATATAATTATAATATTAATTATAATATTATAAGGAAATAGAATATTTTCTTATAAGATAAACTTATAAGAAAATATAATTATAATATTAATTATAATATTATAAAATATAATTATAATATTAATTATAATATAAAATATAATTATAATATTATAAGGAAATACTCGAGTAATTTAAAAAGCTTAACGATCCGTGATTTGTTTGTTCTATTCTTTATTTTAAGCAACTGACTGACTGAATATATAAGAGAATGAATTATGTAATTGCAAATCAATTGCAAAGCTTAGGAGTTTGTCATTATTGAGTCAGCCATTTTGTTTTCTTTCGAAGGATTTCGTGCGAAGGGCTTTCAGAAATTCATTCGATTCTTAACGACGCTAGTGATGTATCTGTGCAATGTAAATAATATGTTTTCCAAATAAACAATAAACGATAAAGTTCACGCGTAACCATAAACGTAAGACGTCCTTTTATTTCCTATATGTACTTTGAGACTGCAATGGCTACGCCCCACTCACTTTCACCTTTGCCATTTTAATTAAAACCGAGTTATTTTTTTTATAAAAAAAATGACGTAAAAATAATATTCTTTCCCCTCCCTATTGCCGTAGCTGCAGTTGTTTCAAAAGCAACTGAATTGCATGATAAATGAAGCAATGAAACGTCGCAACTCGGAATTTAAAAGTGTAATGTCCTTTTGCAATTCTAAGAAAGTGAAGATAACAGTTGAACGTCTTAATCTGTCTCTTGGTCTCTGCTTAACACGTTCCGTGCCAAGCGATTTTTGCCTTTTGTTGTCGTTCAGGC